TGCAAACCCTAAACCCTAAACCCTAAACCCTAAACCCTAAACCCTAAACCCTAAGCCCTAAACTTTGACGTGGTACAGGATTTGTGTAGTCTGGCCTAGGGCTTGAGGCGTAGAGCTCGAAAAAAGAGATCTAGGTTTTACGGTTTAGGGTTTAGGGTTTAGGGTTTAGGGTTTAGGGTTTAGGGTTTAGGGTTTAGGGTCTACGCGCCACTGTTGGAAGGTGGACTTCAACGCGCAGTGCATCAGGCAGCTGTCGCTGCTGCGGCACCTGCAGCACAAACCCTAAACCCTAAACCCTAAACCCTAAACCCTAAACCCTAGACCCTAGATCCCGGAGCCAGGAAGCTAAACCTGAGGTCTCAATCCTAAACCCTAAACCCTAAACCCTAAACCCTCGGCATTAAGGGTTTAGCTTGCTTGGAATTCATCAGAAACAAATTCTCCCATTTCAGCCTTCCCCAAATATACAATAGAATGCGTTGCCCATGGTTGCTGCTGCTGCTGCTGTTGCTGCTGCTGCTGCTGCTGCTGCTGCTGCTGCTGCTGCTGCTGCTGCTGCTGCTCTTGCTCCTGCCGCTGCTGCTGCTGCTCGTTGGCTTTGATGCGCGTTTTCTTTTTTGCTTCTTTCGTCAATTTCTTCAGTTCTTTTTGACCCACTGAAAAATAAATAAATAAATAAATTAATTAATTAATTAATTAATTAATCAATTAATTAATTAATTAATTAATTAATTGATTAATTATTAATGAAGATAGCAAACAAATAATAAACAATAAACAAACAAATTGATTAATAAATAAGTAAACAGATGAACAGCAGCAACAAACTCTCCCATTGCCGCCTTAACCAAAACTGCTGCTGCTGCTGCTGCTGCCGCTGCTGTTGCTGCTGCTGCTGCTGCAGCAGCAGCAGCAGCAGCTGCTGCTGCTGCTGCTGCTGGGAATAAAACAGAAACAATGGAGGAAAAAACTGGCGAAAGTGGAGATGCAAGGAAAAGGAAAACAAAGAAATAAATAAAAAATAAAAAGTGAAAAAAGTTTTGCTGCTTTCCTGCTGCTGCTTCTTTGCTTGCTGAGGTGTCTGTACACCTGAAGGCCCGCCAGTTGTCATTTAATTTTTTTGTCGAAAGAGAAATCAAAGAAGGACTTTTGCCAAAATAGTTTTTCTTCAATAGTCTATAATCTGTAATTAAAATAAATAAATAAATAAATAAATAAATAAATAATAAATAATAAATAATAAATAATGAATAGTAATTAATTAAATAAATCAAAGAAGGACTTTTGCCAAAATAGTTTTTCTTTAATAATCGATAATCTGTAATTAAAAATAAATAAATAAATAAACAGCTTAATCAATCAATTAACTGGTTAAATGAATAATTGATTAATTAACTAGCTAGTTAATTAATTAATTAGCTAGCTAATTAATTAATTAGCTAGCTAGTTAATTAATTAATTAATTAATTAATTAATTAATTGGCTTGTTCAATTGTGTCTTTTTATTAAATATTTATTTATTATTAGCAAAAAATAAAATTTGTAAATTTAAAAGCTGATCAAATGATTTTATTTATTTTGTTTGTTTTGGTTTTTGCAATTGTTTACTTTGATTTATTTCTTTTTTAATTATTTTTCGACTAGTGAATTAATTTACCATTTATTTACTTCTTTAAGCTAGCAATTATTTATTTATTCATTTATTTATTTATTTATTTATTTATTTATTTATTTATTTATTTTATTCTTTTGATTTTCACCTCTTGAAATTTTTTCTCCTTTGAAGAAGTCCTTCTCGAGTGTATCGACAGCTTGGTCCAGCAGCGCCGAAAGCAAAGAAGGATGAGCTGTAAATAAATAAATAAATAAATAAATAGATAAATAAATAAATAAATAAATAAATAAATAAATAAATAAATAAATAAATAAATAACTATATATGTAGAAAAATAGATAAGTAAATAAATAAATAAGTAAATAAATAAGTAAATAACAAATAGCCTCATATGGTAATCACTTGAAATGGAAGTTAAAAATAAATAAATGAATTATCAACTGAAGAACAAACTGGCCAGTTAACCAACTAAATAACTAATCAATTAATTGACTAATTAATTTAATTAAATAAATTACTAATTAATTAACTATTTATTTATTTAATTTAATTAATTAATCAATTAAATTAATTAATTAATTAATTAATTAATTATTTATTTATTTATTTATTTATTTATTTAAATTTAATTACCTCTTATATGATCCACTGTTTTGGGGTGTACGCACACGTCGGTGGCGAGGCAAGAAGCTCCATCTGAATTTGAAGTTCGAAAAATCATTTTAATTAAAATTCCTTAAAATTAAATTTAAAATAAATTTAAATCAAATTTAAATTAAATTTAAATTAAATTTAAATTAAATTTAAATTAAATTTAAATTGAACTTAAATTAAATTTAAATTAAATTTATTCAACCTTTTTAGTCTTTTAAATTCTTTTTCAAATCCCAATTGGACTTCAAATTAAAAATTTCGAAAACTTCAACTTTTCAAAATTACGAAAAAACCCAAACTGCCAAATTTTATTCTTAAATTCATTTTTTTAATTTTATTTTTTAAAATTCTTTTTCTTGAATTACTTTTCAAAATTATTTGTTTAAAATTCATTTCTGAATTTAAGAATTATTTGTTTGAAATTAATTTTTGAGTTCTTTTTCAATAATTCAAATGAAAACATTTAAAACAAATGTTTTATTTGAAGTTCCTTTTTGAATTTAAATGCATTAAAGACAGAAGCGCGAAAGAACTCCATAATAAAAGAAAGTGATAATTCAAAAATAAATAAGTAGATTAATTGGCTAATTAATTTAATTGATTAATTAATTGATTAATTAATTAATTAAACTAATTAGATTAATTAGGTAGTTGGTTAATTAGTTGATAAATTAACTAGTTATCCGAATTAGGTAAATAAATAAAAATAGACAAATAAGTAAAGAAATAATGAGCTAATTAATTTTATTAATTAATTAAACTAAATACTTACTTAATTAACTAGTTGATTATACTAAGTAATTAACTCATTAATTAGTTAATTAATTGATATATTAAACTCAATTATTACTTAATTTGTTAAATTAAATAAGTAATTAATCACTTAATCGATTGATCAATAAATTACGCAATTAATCAATTAATTAGTTCATTAATCGATCAACTAAATAAAATAAATAATTAATTAACCGGTTAGTTAATTGATTAATTAATCAAGCTAAGGAAATAATTAATCAATTAGTTAATTAAATGATTAATTAAAATATGTAAATAAACAAATAATTAATTGATTAATTAGTTAATTGATTAATTAACTTAAATAATTAATGAATTAATTAAATTAATTAATTAATCGATAAATTAATTGGTTAATTAAATTAATTAATTAATTAGTTAATTAATTAAGGAATTAATGAAATTAAATAATTAAATGATTAGTCAATTAATTAATGGATTAATTGAATTAATTAATTAATTAATTAATTAATTAATTAATTAATTAATTAATTAATTAATTAATTGATTAATAATTAATTAATGGATTATTTAAATTAAATAATTAAATAGTTAGTTAATTAATTGATGGCTTAATTAAATTCAATAATTAAATAATTAGATAATTAATTAATGGCTTAATTAAATTAAATAATTAAATAAATAAATAAATAAATAATTAATTAATTAACTAATTTGTTTTGACCTTTTCCTCGAGTGGGTTTTGGCGGCGCGGCGAGGAAGGGTAGAGACACCTGAATTCCTTCTTTTTGCATATTTGTTTGAGTTTTATTTATTTCAATTATTTCATTTTCGTTTTTTCGATTTTCAGTTTTTTCTTTTTTGTTTTTATTTTTTTCTTTTTTGAATTCGTTGGACCCAGTCGCCTTTATTTCAGGTGTACAGACAGCTCCCAAGGAACATATGTTGAAATAAAAAGGCTGCAAAACCCCCGAGGAGTAAACCAGAGAACTTGAAACGCACAAAGCTGCAAATAAATAAATAAATAAATAAATAAATAAATAAATAAATAAATACATAAATAAATAAATAAATAAATAGATAGATAAAGAGATAATAATAAATAATTATAATTATAAATAAATAATAAATGATGATTAATAACTAAATAAATGAATATTTCAAGACACCAATAAATAAATAAATAAATAAATAAATAAATAAATAAATAAATGAATATATGAATAAATAAAGAGTAGACAAACAATCAACAAATAACAAAACAAGCAAAAAACCAAAAAATAAATGGACAAGTAAATAGATAAGCGAATGAATAAAATTAAATGAAAAGAAAAAAAGAATTAAACACAATTAAATACAAAGCCCAAACGAATATTTAAATTTGCAACAAAATAAAAAAATAAATAAAAGTGCAATTTAATTTTCATCTGCAGTACACTGAGTTTATTTCGGGTGTATGTACACCTCACCCGCCTGCGGCCTGAAGAGCGCAGTGCCCTTCGGAGCTTCTCCTTGACTTTCGAGCTGCAGCAAATATTCATCTTGTTCCTAAAAAGAACAAATAATAAAAGTAAACAATTCCTTTTATCAAATAATAAAAGTAAACAATTCCTTTTATTATTTGTTTGGTTATTTCCTCATTAGCTGCTGAGACAGCAGCCGCAGCAGCCGCTGCTGCTGCTCCCAGCAGCAGCAGCAGCAGCAGCAGCAACAGCAGCAGCAGCAGCAGCAGCAGCGGCAGCAGCAGCAGCAAGTTTAGTGGTTTGGTTTGGGAGTTGATACTTGTCGATAAGTTTTGCAAGTGCCTTTTATTTCAAACTATTCTTTTGTTTATTCTAAAAGTGATTTTCAAATTCGTTTTAATTTGCAAAAGAATTCACGCGCAGCTGGGGTGTATCTGCAGCTCCGCCTTTTTGAGGTGTACGTACACCTCAAAACGGGAAATTTGAAAAGTGGAAAAGGCGAAAAAATTAAAAGCAAAAAGCAGCAGCTGCTGGCCATTAAGAGAAAAGAAAAAAGAATTAATTTTAAACTTTTTCGTTTTTTAATTTCTTCGCTTTTTTGTTTTCGAATTTTCGCGTTTTGTTCAAAACTGCAGCTCGAGCTGTACGTACACCCGAAAGCCGCGGGCAGCTGCCGCCGGCGCATCAAAGAAGCGGAAAAGAAATAAATGAAGACTTTTTGTTTTCAAAACAAAAACTTTGAATTATTTTATTAAATTATTTCATTTAAACTCCCTTTTAGCGAGTTCGGACGCCCGGAACTCGGGCGAGAAGCCTTTTCAGTTTTTCCTGTTGGCGCTGCTTTTCAGGTGTACGTACACCCCAGCGCATGCAGCTCCGCATGCACACTTTGAGGTGTACGTACACCCCAGAGCTGCCTCACTTCTCGGAAAGAAGGGTCACTAATTTCTTCGACATAACTTTTAATTAAAGTTCCAAATTCCTTTTTCCGCATTGCTGCAGTCAGCCGCTCCACCTCCTAAACAAACAAATAAATAAATAATAAATAAATAAATAAAATAAATAATAAACAAACAAATAAATAAATAAATAAATAAATAAATAAATAAATAAATAAATAAATAAATTATATTTATTAATGAGATTCTGATGGGGGGCTGAGGGTTTAAGGGAAGTCCTAAACCCTCAGCGGCGAAAGGAAAATATACTGTTACAGAAACCAGCCAAACCCTAAACCCTAAACCCTAAACCCTAAACCCTAAATGAGCGACTCGGAAAAAGAAGTAGTTGCGTCTCGCGGCGTGGGCTCTCGGAAGTTAATTCGAAGTGGATTTATTTTGAATTATTTATTTATTTATTTATTTTTATTTTTATTTTATTTTTATTTTTAATTTGATTTTAATTTCTTTTTGTTTCTTCGAAACCCCGTGAGGTGTACGTACAGCGTAGCTGAGGTCCAGCTCCTCCATTTTCTTCGGCGCAGCAGTCATCACCCCAAACCCTAAAACTAAACCCTAAACCCTAAACCCTAAACCCTAAACCCTAAACCCTAGATGCAAACTTTGTGTTTTGTTTGCAACAAACTTTATTGGAGTTTCTTTTTGAGGGTTTACGGCAGAGACAGACATGCACTAGAGCAGCAGCTGGAGTGTCTGACAGCTAGCGACCCTAAACCCTAAACCCTAAACCCTAAACCCTAAACCCTAAACCCTAAATCCTAAGTTTCTAAAAAAGTTTAACACTTAAAACTCATTCAAAAACGCTACTTCGCAGGAGCTTTGCTGGGGGCTGCGGCCGCGGCGGACTCGCAGCGCCAAACCCTAAACCCTAAACCCTAAACCCTAAACCCTAAACCCTAAACCCTAAACCCTAAACACTAAAAAGTGAAAGTGAATCTTAGACCCAAAACCCTAGATTTCCTTTGCATTTTTTAACGTTAACTTGAGCTGCTGCTTACTTTCTTCTTTAGGGTTTAGGGTTTAGGGTTTAGGGTTTAGCTTGCTTTCCCTGCCACCACGCAACGGACCGCAAACCCTAAACCCTAAACCCTAAACCCTAAACCCTAAACCCTCGCTATGTCGAACTCCCGCAGCCGCTTCAAACAACTGCTGAGAGCTGCGGAGACGGATTTGGCGTTGCTGACGCGAGCTGTATGTACACTGCGAGCAGCAAAGAGCAGCAGCAGCAGCAGCAGCAGCTACACCTCCCTGCAGCAGCAGCAGCTGCAGCAGCGCCCCAGCAGCAGCAGCAGCAGCAGCAGCAGCAGCACCGCCGACGCAGAGCCCTCCTGGACTGTCGACTCGCCGCGCTCCGGCTCAACTGCTGCTTCTCTCCACAGCAGCAGCAGCAGCAGCAGCAGCAGCAGCAGCAGCAGCAGCAGCAGCACTGACCCGGACAGGCTGCTGGAGATTCGGCGGCGCATTGCAGCAAACTTGGACGCAGCGGAGCTGCTGCTGCCTTCTATCCGGCCTGCTGCTGCAGCAGCAGCAGCAGCAGCAGGAGGAGCAGCAGCAGCGCAAGGCGCAGCAGCAGCAGCAGCAGCACGGGCGCAGGTGCGGCACTTTTCGGATTTGCTGCTGGCAGCAAGGCGGGAGTTTGCTGCTGTTGACTCCACGCTGCAGCAGCACATCGAGCGGCTGTCGCTGCTGCGCAGCAGCAGCAGCAGCAGCAGCAGCAGCAGCAGCAGCGCAGCAGCAGCAGAAGACGAAGATGCTGCTGCTTTGAACAAAGAAAGGGCGGGGCTGCTGGCAGCAAACTCGTCGCTGCAGCAGGTGACGGAGTCTGCTGCGGAGGCGCTGCAGCTGCTGCGGCGGCAGCGGCAGCAGCAGCAGCAGCAGCTGCTGCTGCTGCAGCTGCTGCAGTCCGCCGCCTCAGGTGTACGTACACTGCAGCAGCAAGTCCGCTGTCTCCGCAGCAGAGACAATTTTGTCTTGGGAATTGTTTTGGGCTTTTGCTTCATTTTTGCTTTTCTTTGGCTCGCCTACAACACCCCCCTCTAAGTTCTCCTGCTGCTGCTGCTGCTGCTGCTGCTGCTGCTGCTGCTGGTGCTGCTGCTGCTGCTGGTGCTGCTGCTGCTGCTGCTGCTGGTGGTGGTGGTGGTGATGCTGCTGCTGCGGCTGCTGCTGCTGGGGTTGTCGACACTGCTGCTGCTACTGACACTGCTGCTGCTGCAGTTGCTGACAGTGCTGCGGCTGCTGCTGCGGCTGCTGCAGCAGCTGCTGCTGCTGAAACTGCTGCTGCTGCTGCTGCTGCTGCTGCTGCTGCTGCTGCTACGGTTTCTGACACTCCTGCGGCTGCTGCTGCTGCTCGTAGTGCTACCTTTTGCTGTCGTCAGTGCTGCTGCTGCTGCTGCTCTTCCTGGCCACAATGCTGCTGCTGCTGCTGTTAGTGCTGCTGCTGCTGCTGTAAGTGTTCTTGCTGCTGCTGCTACTGTTGCTGCTGCTGCTTCATGCTACTTGCGTGCAGCAGCTGCTGCAGCTGCCTTTAAAAAGTGAGCTGCCGCCTCGGCAAGCAGTTTGCTGCTGCTGCTGCTGCAGCGCTGCAGCAACTAGGGTTGCTGCTGTGGATGCTGCTGCTGCTGCTGCTGCTGCTGCTGCTGCTGCTAGAGCTGCAGTGATTGTGCTGCTGCTGCTGCTGTTGCTTCCAGCTTTTTTTCGTTTGCTGCTACTGCTACTCTTAGTGGAGCTGCAGCTACAATGCTGCTGCTGCTGCTTCTGCCGCTGCTGCCTGAGCTATTAAAACTGCAAGCACTGCTGCTGCTGCACCTACTGCTGCTGTGGCTGGCGTTGCTGCTGCAGCAAGGTTTCTGCTGCTGTGGCAGTTACTGTTGCTGCTGCAGCAGCATCCGTTGCATCTGCTGCCAGTGTTGCAGTATTTGCTGCAGCAGCGGCTGCTCTTGCTGCAGCAGCGGCTGCTCTTGCTGCAGCAGCGGCTGCTCTTGCTGCAGCAGCGGCTGCTCTTGCTGCAGCAGCTTTGTTAGGCAGAGTAAAGTGCTGCCTTCCGTAGTCTTATGCCTGAGTCTCCGCTCCAGCAGCAGCAGCAGCAGCAGCAGCAACTGCTGCTAGAGCAGCAAATATTGCTGCAGCAGCAGTTGCAAATGCAGCTAGAGCAGCAAGTATTGCTGCGGCAGCAGCTGCAACTACAGCTAAGGCAGCAACAATTGCTGCTGCAGCAGCTGCAGCAGCAGCTGCAACAGCAGCAACGGCATCAACTACTGCTGCAGCTGCAGCAGCAGCTAGAGCTGCTGCAGCAGCAATCGAAGCTAAGATGATGGAATTGCTGTTGCAGCAGCAGCAGCAGCAGCAGCAGCAGGCCGTGTTGTTGCTGCTTGCGGGCAGCTTCTCCCCTCTAAACAACTCGGCAAAGAATTAAAAATGAATTAAAGTTGGAAATTAATTTAAAATTAAAAAAGTGATGAATTAAAAAGAGAAAACGGGAGAGCAGCGGCAGCTGGTCGTACACCTGAAGTGACACCGCAGAGGTGTCTGTACACCCGAGCCCCGCAGATCTTCGCGCAGTTTCTTCTTTTTGAAATCATTTTTATTTTATTTAAATTTAAAATCAAAAATCAGCCAAGGAATGCCAATTAGTTCTTCTGGAGTGCCCCTGCGGAGTGGGGGGCCCCCGGGGGGCTGCAGAGCGCTAGGGTTTAGGGTTTAGGGTTTAGGGTTTGGGGTTTAGGGTTTCGCCTTCTTCACTTTTGCTTCCCCCAACTCGCTCAGAATATGATGTTGACACAAAGTACACGCGGGGAGCCTTAGCAGCAGCAGCAGCAGCAGCAGCAGCAGCAGCAGCAGCAAGGCCTCAGCAGCAGCAACTGCTGCTGCAGCAGCTCGTGCGGAGGCAACGAGTGGCGGACTGACAGCCCGCCCAACAGCTGCAGCAGCAGCAGCAGCAGCAACAGCAGCAGCAAGAGCAGCAGCAGCTTCTCTCCTCCTGCGTGCTAGGATGTGGGGCCCGGGCGGTGCTGCTGCTGGCAGCAGCAGCAGCAGCAGCAGAGGCGCTGGGGCAGCAGGCTCTGCCTCCCTGAAGCCCCAGCACTCAGCAGCAGCAGCAGCAGCAGCAGCAGCAGCAGGAACTCCATCTTCCTTCTATGTGGGGTCTGTGGCAGCTCCAGCTGCGTCCACAGCTGCAGCAGCAGCAGGAGCAGCAGCAGCAGCAGCAGCAGCAGGCGCCGCAGCAGCAGCGGGAGGAGCAGCAGCAGCAGCAGGCGGCGCCGGGAGCTCGTCGGCGCCCTCGAGCAGCTCCACCGCAGCAGCAGCAGCAGCAGCAGCAGCAGCAGCAGAACAAACAGTGCTTTACAAGCAGCAAAAAGCGCCAATTGGATTTCTTCTCAGCAAAACTCTGGACATTTTAAAAAGCTGCAGCAGCAAATATTTGCACTTGAGAGAACTCGAAAGAAGGCTGCTGCAGCAGGGATTCAGCGACCTCCACCACCTCATGCTCCCCAGTATGCTGCTGCTGCTGCTGCTGCTGCTGCTGCTGCTGCTGCTGCTGCTGCTGCTGCTGCTGC